GAGCCGTCCGGACTGAAACCTGAAAACAACGGTCGCAATCGTCGCCAGGCCACCAAGCAGGTTCAATACCCACGATGCATCGATGTGACCGGATTGGAGGTATGCGGCAACAGAACGGAATGTCGAAAGCTCCAGAATCTCGAAATTAGCGGACTAATCTTATTTTCATAGTAACTTTGTTTTTTTGCTATGTATTTTTTTAAATTAGAGTGTTTTTACTTAGAATTAAAATGCCAGGCATAATGTTGCTGCTCATTGAATGGTTATAACGAAATTTCCATAAAGTTGCGTGAATGGCCAAAACTGTCATTGCAGCATCCGTTCATCCCATCCTACTATATATCCTACCTTATATAATTTGGTCGCGTATCTTTGTGTGTGTGTGTGTGTGCGGAGGTCAGTTTCGAGGCCGGATTTGAAGGTCTTACCGTGTCCAAAACACCCCAATTTTTCGTCACGCGGGGGAATCGACCCTCCTCTATCCGATGGTGTTTTCAGAATTCCGATAAAATACAAGTTTACAAAGTTAAAGGCAATTTTATTCATTTTTTGGGGTCCGGGAGGGCTAATTTGCATAATCTGCAAAAATAGAAATTTCCTCATTCTTGCAAGTTGCACTCGCGGGTTTGGTCGGGACAGGGAAGGGGGTCCGAAGGACCCGAGCTATCAGAAAGTCAAACTTTTCATGCAAAGGCCACATTCCTGCGCCCAAGGCCCGCGAAGCGGGTTTCGGGCGCTGGTTATCTATTAAACCAGTGGAAAAAGACCGCTTCGCGGCCTTTTTTCCACTGGACCCCGTCCAGCAACCATGAATTTGAACACCTTCTTTTTCCTGTCGTGTCGAAGTTGTCGCCGCACTAAAACCATTATATCTCGATTTGCACTGCGAATCCTGGATCGCGAAAAGCACCATTCGAAAGAGCGCGAAAAGTTCTATCTGCCGGACAAGTTTGAGCTCTCGAGCAGCTTTGCCCAGGCTGCTAGAGCGGTTAGGAAAAAAACGTCTCGAAATCGTCCGCCGTGTTCAACAACCTCGAAGAAATGCTACCAAACGACCCCCAAAATGAGTTGCAATCGAATTGGCGCCGAGTTGTGTGAACTGCTCGAAAATGATGTTCATCTCCTGATTCGATCAAAATAGTCTAGTTCATATATTGCGGTCATTGGCAAAAAGGACCCCAGACAGCACCCCACAGAGCACCCCAAAAGGCACCCCTGGGGTGCTTCCGAAAGCACCCCACTGGGGGGCGAGGTGCTTTCCAGAGCACCCCTCTCTCGGCCGGGGTGCTTTCTTTCCCACCCCGGGGTGGTTTTGAAAGCACCCCGGGGTGCTCTCTTTGGGGTGCCGTCCAACACTAATTTTAGGGTATGTATGATACGTCATTAGGTGCGTGATGCCCCTGAGATGACTGCACACATATTAGATTTTACAAAACCAACGATTTTCGACATTAAGTTCAAGTTTTTGTTAAAAAATCGGCGACCCTCTTTGTTAGGAAAAAATAGCATGCGCCGGAAGTTCCGGTAGCCTATATAATGGGGTAGAGAGCTCGATTTTTCATTTTTTTTTTGGTGTTGGAAATCCAAGAATTATGCAAAGTTAGGTACATTGGGAGATCAGACGGGCCCAGGGTTGAAAAGTCGCGAAGCGGCTTTTCAAACCTGGTCGAAATTATTTATGTTTTGCTACTTATTAGTTGCGACTGTCGTAAAATGCGCTGTATTTGAAATCTTGAAAAAGCTAGAACAATATTCGTCACGCGCCCTTAAACTTCCTCCCCTTCTAGCGAACTAGCCCAAGATACACTATTGAGACCGGAGAACTTGTCTTTAGGAGCCAGACCGTGAGCGCGTCAAAAAGGACAAATTGCTGGACTGCAGCAAGAACATCTTCGTCCAGTTCCGCAACGGCAACACGAGCGGCCTCGCCATCACCCCGCCGCCGTGCCAGGGGGTCAACGACTCTGTAGATTTTTTGTTTGATTCGGTGTTGCTGAATTTGTACCTTCGGCCTTGGGCGCTGGAATGAGGCTCCTTCATGAGAAATTTGGCTTTCCATTGGCTCGGGTCCTGCGGACGAGAGCGCGCGAGCAAATTGCGAGGCGTGCAATTTGTAGTTTTTTGGCATTAGGCGATTTTATCGCAATTCCGAAAACGCGGTCGGCAAGGGTCCAAGGGTAAGGAGAATTAGAGCATTTTCTACACTGGGAGACCGTCCACCGATTCCAAAGTGATCGAGATATTTCCAGAGAATCTGCGCATACCGCAATGGGCTACCGACCGGCCCGACAGGCCCTACAGCTACTACGGTTGCTGCTCCCCTTGTGAGCGAAATGATGATCTGGTTAGGAACAGGTGAGTTCCCTCTTGCACCGCCTGCCATTTCGAGTCTTACCAATCCTCTTTTAGCTGGAGCCGGAGTGGTGGTGCTGATCGGTTGCGGTGTTCTTCTCGGTTGCCTGCTAAATAAGTAAGCCAATTTTGGTCTGATCTATACAAGCTATCCTTTTAGGAAGAAGCGCGAGAAGGAGGAGGATTTGGAGAAAGTGGCCGTCGAGTCACCGACGACTTCAAGCGTTGCCGAGCCATCACCCGCCGTTGCTGCTTCCGTTCCGGCGGTGGTCGAATCCCCCGCCACGGTTCCTTCGCCCGTCCCGATCGTTGCCGAACCAGCTCCGATCGCTCCTAAACCGAATCCGGCCGCCGTCGAACAGACCCCGCCGGTCGCAAAACCGACCCCAGCCCCAATCGTCGAACCAAACCCGGTGGCCGCCGAACCGACCCCAGAATTAGCCCTGAAGACGCCGCCCACGGAAGTTGCGGACCCGTCCGCCGTTCCGGGATTATCCCTGAAGACGGCGCCTACGGAAATTGCGGACCTGTCCGAAGGCCACTACGAACTTATCACATCCAAGATTGAGGGAGGACACATGGCGCATTTCAAAAACATGGTAGGCAACCAGACGATAAGGGTCTTGGAAACGGAATTTCGAGAGGTCGGCCCTTCGTTAGTCTCACAAAAAAGCCTTCCTGCCTTTACGTCAACAATTCAGTAAAAAATATCCAAGGTGACTCGTTATCGATCCCATACGTGGACCAGGTTGCGTGGGACGGGTTTCGAAAGCTAGGTTTTTTCAGACGACGGGATCGCAGCCTCCGTTCGAACGCGCACCAGGGCTTTTCGACCTGGCTGCGAATGGCATTGCGCTCAGAATCGATCTCAAAAAGCTTGTGAGTGCCGATGTCTTTGAGATACCGTATAATTAAAAAGGTTTTAAAATTAAGACCCTTAAAGACCCTTAATTTTAAAAACGCTGGTGATCCGCAGCGATTAAGTATAAAAAAATTTGAAAAATCTGATATTCCCGGGGTTTCAGGAAAGAATCTTTTTACAGAAAATTATCTTTTCCATCACTCTTCCAATCCATTTTTTAAATTTCGAGCAAGCAATTTTTATGCGAATTTTTGTCAAAAAGGGTTTTTGCAAAGCTCACATAATTATAAAAACACCATCGCAAGAAAACCCGTACAAAACAAAAAGCAAGAGCAAGCTTTTCGTTGAAACCCCCCTGGACATTTAGATTTTCAGAAAGATGTTACTGCTTTGATGTCTGGAAATACAAAGACGTAACCGATCCAAATTTCAGAAAGCGTGGAAGTCGAAGCAAGCGGCCAAGCCCGAGCGGGAGTATGCTAAGAAAATGACCAAGAAGCCTCCCCCCGCGTTTGATGCGGCACTGAAGATTATCGCCGAGTTGGGCAGCGAATACTATTTGGCAGTGGACGGCGAGGAGGTGATACTTTTTCGGAAAGAGCTAATCTTTGAAAATAGCCGCCGTTGTACAACCCGGACGCGGATGACCTGAAGAGCTTGTGCCACGACGTGGAGATGGATGCTCGGAATGATTTTGGGGTGGCAAAGAAGCAAGGGCGCACCATTGTCGTCGGAGACCTCTATGGAAACGTGGGCGCAAAAATTCTAACCAAACCCCCGCCAACCCGGCGCAGAAGCATCAGATCCGAACAACGGTTTTGTTTGAACCGGTCATTTATAAGGCGTACCAGCGCCCAAAATCCGCTGCGCGGGCCTTGGGCGCTGGAATCATGCCTTTGCATGAGAAATTTGAATTTCCGATGGCTCGGGTCCTTCGGACCCCTCGCCTCCCCCGACCAAACTCGCGAGTGCAACTGGCAAGAATGAGGGGATTTCTATTTTTTTACATTATGCAAATTAGCCCTCCCGGACCCCCAAACATCAATAAAATCGGCTTTCGCTTTGTAAACTTGTATTTTATCGGAATTCTGAAAACGCCAGCGGAAACAGAATGGTCGATTCCCTCGAGTGACGGAGAATTAGGCATTTTGGACACGGGAAGGCCCTGAAATCGGGCAAAGTGACATCCAGATACACACACACAAAGATACGCGACCAAATTATATAAGGTAGGATAACTCACCTATACTCAGATTTTATTGGATTATTTTTATCATATAACTCAGGTTTTGTTTGAACCGGTCATTTATAAGGCGCCTAACTCACTTAGGGAGCTCCTCTGCATCTAATTAACTACTACGTCCGGAAATTCTACTTCGATACTCGGAAAAATCAACCCGGAAAATCGGAATTACGCAAATATCTGTCAAACGTCACGTTTAAATAGGAAGATGGGTATGAAGATGGCTGGAGACTAGCCGTTTTTCAGGCTTTGAAATGGTATAACTATCATTCCCGACCGATACTTCTGCGTCGAGTCGGGGAGGGGTGTTTTTTATTGGGCCACTCTGAATCTGTCAGCCCGTCTGAATCAATTTTCAGTTCAATGACCTCTGGCACATCATCCACGCTTGGCTGTCGGATGCTGCTGGCAAAGGGCCCCGGCAAAAGTGGGTCGTGGAAAGACTTTCACAACTCACAATCATCCTTTAGCATCATCTTCCTTGGAAATATCGTTGGTGGAGGGAAGCGTATGCTTGAATGTTTGACCCTGATCTTGGCGTACATGGTGGTTGCGCCCAGCCAGGTAGTCAACGAACCGGGATGATTGCTTTGCTTTCAAAACGATTTTTGCAAATGGTGTTCTCTCTGCTAGGTGCGGCTCATCCGCGGCAATTTCGAAGCAAAAAATGGAGGCACCGCTTTCGCAGAAGACCTGAAGAGCCGCCAATACGATGAAGAAGTGATCAAGATGTTCAACAACCTCTTCACCATGCTTCCAATGGTCGGGCTCATCGACGGGCGGATCCTCTGCGTTCACGGCATGATATGTTCGTAATATTAATTTTCATCGCCATTCACCCAGCTCTCGCGCCTCTAGCGGTCCGTGGGAAGGACGGATAGAGATGATTTTTCCCCCTAGGAAAGCTCCCAATAGTACCCTTTTCAGCGTTTGATCTGAACAAAAAAAATCTTCGGGAGGGCTGGAGAAACGGCGATCCATGCCGTGAGAAGACCCACCTGGAGCTAGCATGGAATGACCCCTCAAGCCAAGTCGAAGAGTAAGTCAAACCTTTGGGGCATTGTGTTAACGGGCTAGTTCAGCCAATAAAACAAAAGAATTTCTGCGGCCAGGAGTCGAACCCTCTCTGCGTTTTTGTGTCTGCGCTTCTCTCATTTCCCCGATCTCTAATAGCTGTCGTAATGGGGGACTGTTCGAGCGCACGTCCATAGTTTCCCAAGGTACCAGCCCAAACTCTAAAAGTTGAACTAGCCCTTTAAGGCACCGTATTTTCCAAAACACCGTAGGTTGAATGTCCGCGAAGTGGCTTCCCCCGTCCCCGTGAATACTCAAAACCCACTTTTCTATGGCCGAATCGATTTCGGGAGCGTTTTTTGTGGACGGTGTCGATTTAAAGGGGCACATTAAGCAGCTTCGTTTTTCCATAAATCGTGGAAAAATTTGCATGCGAGATGTCTGTGTTTCTCAATTTGGCCTGCTCTCTAACCGGAAATGCATGGACATTTTTCCACGATTCATGGAAAAACGGCGCTGCTGAAAGGACCCCTTTAACGAAAATTCACGAGTGCAATTAAAAGCCTGTCTTTGTTGCAGTTGTGAGCGAAAACCCGATCGCCCGGATACTTATCGCTTGGGTCCAAAGGATATCAAGGGCGGCATGGAGAAGCTGGGCGTCGAATTCATTATCCGTGGTCGTCAGGTCTGTTGAATATACTAGCGGGGCAGCAACTATCCCTGGCGGGCTTTGGATCGGCAGTGGAGAAATACAATCGTCAGAAACGATTTTTACGCCATTCGAAAGCTCTCGAAAGCTCGTTTCCTTTTCTAAGCATTAATCTCATTCGATCAATATTCACCGTTTTTAAAATCAGGTAATTTTTGAATGGGAATTCCCCAATTTGCATCAACCTTATACTTTATGGTATTCTCGCCTTTTCAAAGACTTTCGGTAAATAGCTCAATCGTGAAAATCAGACACGAATAGGGGGGTGCTTTTTTGGGGCACCTTCTATGTATCGTGTTTTTTATTTGGCAAATTTTTGAAAATTTATTATGCGGCAAACTTCCAACAAAAGTTAGAACAGTTTACTGAAAAATTCGGCCAATTTGCTCCGAAAAACTATATTTTTCACGATACTTTGTCAAATGCTTATGCGCAGTGATAGTTAGTATAAATAAACACATCCGTGGTTTAGATAAAAAAACGAGTCTTTCCCGGAAACAATTGTAGCCCACGGGGTCCTCGACCACCCACCCCCATGTGTCCTACAGTAACATTTTTTTTCTAATAGGTGATGCCGAACGGTGTGCAGCGTTTTGCCGATATGCCGGTGGCCACCGTCTTCTCGTCGTCTGGCTACAGTGAGGTAGTCCTTTGCTCTCACACTGACTAAAACCATTTCCATGCCATTCTAGGACAATCTTGCTGCCGTCCTCTTCGTGGACCCGGAAAAGAACGCCATCACCCCGATTTTCCTCGCAAACGATCGGATCAAGTGTAGGTTTTTCCTCATTTTTGCAAGTTGCACGCGTGAGCATGGTCGGGCGGGTGAGGTCCGAAAGACCTGACATGAGCGATCGGAAAATCAAATTTCTAATGTATAGGCCGCATGCGCCCAAAGCCCGCGCGCTGCGGGTTTTGGGCGCTGGTTAGGTAATGATAAATGCGGGAGCTGCTAGTTTTGTTGAATATGAAACACAGAAATAGGTATTAAAAGATTACACTCCTCGGCTACGGGATGCTTTACCCCCCCCCCGCCCTAGGGACCCAAAATTTTCGATTTTTTTGATTTTTTTTCGGGATTTTTCAACTTCATTGGATAGATCATTCAAAATATACTCAGAAGTTTTATGGCCGCTCAAAATTTTGTAATATAAAATAGTTACAGCAAAAAGAAAAATCATCTCTAAGAATGGGGTAAAAAACCTGGTTTTCAACAAATTCAATTTCTTTAAGGGCATTCGATAAAGCGTCAAAGATATACTAAGTGTTTTCGTCACAACCCATAATGATGTAAAATAAAATAGTTATGGCGCAGACAAGCAGAATTCGGACATCCTGCCGAACACTATTTTAATTGCATAAATTTTAATATTTTTTTTTTTGCAATTCCCGGCCAGCGGATAGTAGTTGGGGCCTAGGGCTACCGATTGGTGTCCTTAAAGGGCTGCGGCATGTGTAAATCCCCCATCAACAAATTGGCGAGTAGCCAACAGAGCAGAGAGTGCACCCAGGGGAACCGCGCAGAGACATTTTCTTTCCAGCGCGTAACCGATTGACTAAGCCGTCGGCATCCCTTTAAAAAAATTTTTGGGAGCTTCCGGGTCGGGGAGGGGGGTAAAGTCAACTCTTACCCAACCCTGATATTTCAGCGCAAGAGCAATTGGACAAGAAGCTGGCTGAGGGATGGGAGACGGACGGCTACGACCATGCGCCAGTTCGTAAGTGATCATCCAAATATAATATCCCATGTCTAACCGTAAGCAACAAAGCGGATTGAAACGAAAATGCTGGCGCCGTAATTTTGGAAGGCTGGCCCAATTCATAATTAGCTCCAATCCATCAAATTTTTTTGGGGCAACTTTAATAGATCAAATTTGAACACTCTGTAGCAAATTAAAAAAAGGGTGATAACCAGCGTGGTCGATATCGCTTTTCAGTCCGTTGGTTTGGCCAGAAGAAGAAGAAGGAATAAGGAGCGCACAACAACGCATGGTCGATTCAATCCGCGTGAATCGATATCGTCTGCAACGAACAAAACAATCGACTGGCCTATCTACGTCGAGCTACTCGTATTTCGAGGTCCCTATTGTCCCGTCCTATTGCTCATTCTCGTGTCGTCTCATCGCTCGTGTCATTTGCTCATGTCGAGCTTTTTTTACCCGGAATAAAGATGTGAAAAATGTGCTTGTCCGTTTTTCTTCGAATCGAGGTTCGGACTCTGCGTCGACACCACATCATGCATGTCAAAGTTACTTACACGGAATTTCTTAACGAAACCTAACTCCTGAAAAATCCTCTGACCAGTTCTCTGTCTCTTTTTCTCTCTCGATAGCCTAAGCCTACGCCTAAGCTCTCTCTCTCTCTCCCCATGAGATCGCGATACGATATCGTACAAGCTACACTACAAGCTGCACCAACAAATACCAACACTAGTACCAACAAATTGCAGCCTGACCTGGCGAGCGATATTTATCAAATTTCGACTACCGAATACAGACGAACGGATTGTCTAGTTCTGGAAGTGGTTTTTGCGCAAAACGGACGAAGGGACGTTCCTGCCTCATGGCATTTATAAAGCAATCGGCAGTGAATTAATCAAGAGAAGCCGAGGTTTCCATACGGGCTCTCGCCCTTAAAACACGATAAAACATACAAACTGTTAAAGCGCTGTTAAATTTTTCAAAAAGCCTGCGACACTCGGGATTCCCAAGCCGTCTCCGATCCAAGGACTAACCGAGCCCAAAGTTGCTTAACTTGGGAGATCGGACGGGATGCCGTGCATTCCAGGTGGTAAGGTCGCAGGGGAAGGGACGAGTGGGGTAAGGGGTGAAAATCCAGTGGGAAGCCCAGACGGCGTAACCAATTGAGAGGGAGCAGAGCGAGAACCGCGCCAGAGATTTTGTCTGCTTCCACGACCGATCCTATCGCCTACGACCACACGACGTTGAAAGCACAGTCTGCGGCCGTCATGTGGTCCGATCTGCCAAGTTAAGCAGCGTTGGGCTCGGTTAGTACTTGGATCGGAGACGGCTTGGGAATCCCGACTGTCGTAGACTTTTTGTTTGAGTTTGCTTTTTCATACCCTTGGTCTCTACAGTTTTCCGAAATTCCAAAACATCCCGTGTTCTTTTCGACAGAGTATTTGAATGTTTCCTTTTATTTTCCAATTAGAGAGAACAAGAGTAGAGGTCGCAGCCATAGTATTCCAGATTGAATACCTCGTTGTCAGCCACCTTTGCCATGAAGTCGGAATAAATAGGTGTTTTCTGAACCGAGATTGCCGCCGAGCCAGTTTTGTGCTCACCCAGCAAGTCACTTTGCTTTCCCGCAGTGACGAAGTCTGAGGGCCCATGTTATCGAGCATGATCGACACGTTCTTCGGGTCACCGCGCCGCCCGGGTGCGTGCGGAAAGTCTATATTTGCCGTTGTTCTGAACTAAAAACAAAAACTGGGATGCGTAGCATAGGAAACAATAAAAATCTGCAAATGGCAAAACACACCTCGCAATTCGTCGGCGGGTAGTAAAGCCGTTTCGTGGACCTCTGTCCGAGTAAAGCCCAGAATATTTCGGTTCCTCGGATGATTACGGAATCTCTGCGCACGACAAAGCAAGAATAGGTCCCTGCCCAAAATAGCTCTGGGTTTTTTTTGACATCATTAAAGGAAATCGGTCTTAGTACAAAAACTTGCCGTCTCTAGCGCTGGAACCTGATCGTCCGTCAGGTTGAAGAGTGTCTGGTAGACACCAAAATATTTGCACGATTTCAGGAGCACGATCTCCCTGGCCGTGGCAAAAACGAGGAGCACGGCCAAGGAAAAGATAAAAAACCGAGAGTTCATTGCAACTAAACGATCACAAGCCACAACTAAATTTTCTGATCAGCCGGATTGTTTAGTCGCGATTGTGGCTTTTTAGATATTGGGCAGACCGGAATTTTTCCAAAAAGTTGTTATTGGCTGTGGGAATAGCCGTTTCGTCTTGTGTGTTTACTTTGTCAGTAAACTGCTATAAATCGGCCATTACGATAGAATTTATTTTACAAAAAAACAGGGACAGCGATAATTTTAACTCGGATTAAAAGCTTTAGTTGCACGTTTCCACGTCACATTTGTAGTGCTCGCTCGCCTTGATCGCCTGCCACATGTATTCGCTGTAGATAGGCATTTTCTAGAGAAAAATATCAAAGCCGTATTTCGGATAGTTTACCATGCATAGCTTATCGTAATCGAGTGTGGCGTTATTATCGAGATCCACGAAAAGCGACGGGAACGAGTCCTTGCGCCATTCGATTTCACGGTCTCCAAGCGTGGCTGTGGAGTGGAACTAAAAAACGCAGATTATACGTACTAAAAAAACGCAAAAAAGAATATGAAGAGAAATGTCCAAAAAGGTGCTTACCTGACAATTGTTAGGCGGGTTGTGCATCCGCCGGTGGGTGAGCTTCCCCGAAAACCACCAGCCGCTGCGGCTACGGCTCGTTTCCAGCTTATAGCAATAGTAGATTGAACTCTGAAATGGGAAAAATTACGAGGTGAAATTTTTAGCCACCATTTGCACAGGTGGCACCGTCGGGAATTTCTCCGGCTCCATCAGCCGCCAGTCATCAAAGTGTCGGCATTGACGCACTAATAGGAGTTTTTCACTAGCGATCACGCTAGCAATGATGAGGACGAGAAGAAGCATGCAAGTGTTTAAAAAAGAGAGGTCCTAGCAGGTCATGACTGTTTATATCCTAGTCGGCAAGGATGATTGCCCGTTGAATTTTGGGGCTCATGTGTCATTTTGATCTATGGATCTATTTCTTTAGCAGCGGGGCTTTAATATTTTTGGCTTGCATCGTAAGCCTGGAAAGCGTCAAAATCAATTAGACGCGTTCTTACAAAATTTATATGCAATTCACATGCACATATGCAATCATCAATATACAAAACAATATGGATTGTTTCAAAACTGTAGAGTACACTTTTCCACCGAACAATAGAACCATTCGTACTTGGTGAAGGTTGTATTCATATAGTCATCGTAGATTGGTGTTTTCTAAAAGTCGTATCACAATTTTACATTGGCATTATGTATTTATAACGTTTTATAGTCAATATTCGAGCCTACCATACATATTTTCGATTGGTTGAGGCGATCATAGTCATGAAGTTCGGGATTCATAAAAAATTCTTCCCACGGTCCGGTGCGCCAGGGCCTATGTCTTTGCCCGATATGCACTTCGCCTACCACCCAAAAACAAAGACTATGAGACATTCAATTCATGTATTCGAGGAACCTGACAATTAGTAGGCGGGGTCCGAAATCTCTTGTTGCTATATGTGCCCTCGTACCACGCGAAAGGTCCTGTCGGTATATAGGTTGTTGTCATGTTGTAGCAATGGAATATACTGCCCTGTAAGATAGTTTAGAGATGCTTTTTCTGGAAATTTGCCTTTGTGTGATCATTATGCTATGAGTAATACAGGGTTCCCTAATAAAAACACCCCCCTTTAACTCCACGCAGGAGTATCGGATCGGAATGGTAGTTACACCATTCGAAAGCCCTTGAAACGGCGAGCTTGCAAAAATCTTCAAAACCATCTTTTTACTTAAATGAGGTATTTAATAACGAATTGAAAAACATTAAAGAACACTCATATGCTCATATCATACGCTCATCAAATCTCATAAGCGACAACTTCTGGTCTTTGTATGGACAAATTGAGGCAATTTATATCGTATTCGTGTCCGAAAACGCAAGACTTTGCAATTTTTTTGGTCAAATAGCGTGTTTAAATAACAAAATGGTTGTGTTGATAGTTGCAAACTCGCCGTTTCAAGGGCTTCGAATGGTGTAACTATCACTTCGCGTCGAGTTGGGGGGTGTTTTTTTATTGGGATACCCTCTAGGTGGGACGTCTTCAAATTTACCACCTCCACGACCGGGCCACGGGTCGTGATGTTCAAATGCGAAGGTGCGTCGTAGTGCCGACATTCCCTCATGAGCAACAGTTCATTTTGTATGACAGGGTTAAGCAAGGTGAAGACGAGTTGCCGCATTTTCAAATGGGAATCCCTGCACGGCTGAAGCGGCACAATGTTTGGTTGCGACGTGCCGTTTTTTGCACCGCTATGGTTCTCCGTGGTCGGACTACGAAAAATATTTGGCAGGCTGGTTTGTGCCAAAATGTTGTCAGAAACTACACTATATTTAGATATATTCAGGCCTGCGTCCGAATTTTCAGAAGCGTATCGCGCGCTCATACCCAGTGTTTTTAACCGGTTGCACCAACCACTACTGAAAGTTGACTTTTTCTTGGTTTTGCTTCACGCGGACTTTTTCTTGAATTTGTCTCGCGTAGACATTGAGGTAACGTTGATAAAAAAGTTTATTCAAATATAAATACTACATGACACACTTTTCCACGTCGCAGTCGTACTGTTCATAAACGCCAAAATAACGTGCGCCAAAATCGTTATAAATGGGTACTCTCTAAAAGTCATAACATCATATCGGAAATTGAAAATTGAAAAACAGATTCTGGACAAACTTTCTACCGACCATGCACAGCATTGACAAGCCCGGATGGAGCCTTGGCCGTAAGTAAAATGAAAAGTAGTCCCACTCCGAAGTGCGGTGCTTTGTATGGTCTATCCAAAGAAGCGCATTGACGAAATACTAGAACATTAATATCATTGATACCTTAACGAAAATTGGTCCAAGAAAAAGCATCATATCTCGTCACCTGGCAATGCGTGGGGGGATAGTATATACGCCGTGGGGTTAGATACGCGTCGATCCACCAATTTACGGTCTCCCGAAAATGCGCATACGACGTGTTCAGCCGATAGCAATGAAAAACATTGCTCTAACGCACATGGCCAATGGGTTTTTAATTACCAATTGCATAGCCGGTGGATTTGGCGTTGTCGTTTGGTTTACAGAGGCGTATTGAGCGCGGCAGTTCCGGAGCAGCAAAATTTCGCCGCAAAATGCGGCTGTGAAAAAAGCAGAAAAAATTGCAGACGAATACATGTTAAAACTTATAGCTTGGCAGGGCTACTCGGGTCCAAAAATAGTTTATGCCGTTCGCCGCTTGCCGTTGACAGCAAAAAGTTATTGCGATCGCGGAAAACTTTTTTCATGGTGTTTGGAGGCAAGCGTTTTCCCAAAAAAGTGGTAGCTACGAAACCTTTTTGGAGACCTTAAAGCACGCTGTACAGCCTGAATTAACAACCTTTATGACGATATTTCTGAATTCACTAATTCAGCGAACACGCGTCTACATCGCAGATGTAATTTTCATAGACTGCCGTCGTCACCTCGATGAAATGGCTGTAGATGGGCATTTTCTGGAATTAAAGGTTCTGATTCGGTGGGGGGGGGGGAGACGCCGAGTCGAAATTTTCCGAACTTTTCAGTTAAGAAGAGTATAAAATGTTCTCGAAATGGAAAGGTGGCGAAAGTAAAGTAAAAAAAGTTCATACCACGCTCAACAAACACCCCCGCTAATAAACAAGCGCCCTCTTGGGCACATTGAATGAACTACCATGCATAGCATAGCAAGGTTCGGTACGTCGCGCTTTGGGTGAAAATGGATGTCGGGCATCGGCCCTCGGCGCCAACCGATATCTTCTTGTCCGATGGTTGCTTCCGCAATGAACTAGAATGGTCATCACAAACATCATTTACGGCGCTAACCTGACAATTTATCGGTGGATGGAAAAAGCGCCTCGTGCTGAGCACACCAAGCGTAATTCCGTACTTCGAGGTGTTCAGCCGATAACAGTGATACAAATTGCTCTAATGACTCGATATAACCGTTCTGGATTTTTGCCGTTACCAACTCTATTTCTGGAATCGTTTCGAATAAAGATAGGTTGCTATTCTTATGCCAGAAACTGTGGTCACATCGTCGTACTAACAAGATATCAGACCAGGTGAAGACTATTGCCATCGAAAAGTAGAGGAAAGTCAACTTGCTCATAGGAAATTATATACTGAACCGTTTGGAGTCTCTGATGTTTATAGCGCCTGTCCGTTTTTCCGGGTATTTTCGATTGCGGCTAGCGATTGGTGAGGACTAAAAACACCCTGTTACTTAATATATCATTTAATGATATATTTTTATTCACAGAAAGAACTTTATGATAACCCGAAACCTATATCGTACAAATTTCCAGCGGGCAGCGGTAACTTTCCGGTATAGGGCTGTCTTTTGAGATGCTCCCCAAAAAGGTAGGCATTTTCTAAAAGGCGTTTGCAATTACAGTTCAGCAACAGCGTCTGACCATACAAAATTTCCAAGGCTCCAGGGTCTCGTTGAATTCAGAGGTAATCTGGAGCTGCTGAATTGGGTTCGTGCCCAAACGACCCCGTACGGCGGGGCCAAGTTGGACGATAGAATGGAACTGAAAGGTACTATAAAAAAGCGTAGCTTTACAACCAACGATAAAAAAACGTTTCGAGGCTTTTTCGAGATGGCTGACAGAAACCTATGTCTTACCTCGCAATTGCTAGGCGGGTATCGAAAGCGTCGACCGTTCAGGAAAGTCTGATAATACCTTATCTCGCCTTGCTTCCGCTGCGGCCGATAACAATAGTATTTTTGGCTCTAAAAACCGATAATCTCTGTAAAAAGCTTTTAAGCTACCATCTCAAAGTAAGGCAACCGATGGTAGCTTTCCCAATGCACACACTTGCGCACCAAATATAATTTTTCGCTGTAATTCGGGGTAGGTAGGTATAGGCAAATAAGCAAAATAGAGAATATTGATAGGTGTTTTGTCGAAAAGTCAGGGGCTACCATTGTTTATCGGATTTTTTTACGGCAAGAATTTATGGAAACGTAAACAAGGCGCGTTCGATTACAAAAAAGCTTCATCAGAGGAATTTCGAGAACATCGATAATTTTGTGTTACATCCTTTACGTGCGTTGAATGCGATCAAGGTAATTTTACAGTCCCATAAGCAATACGATTTATTCGAATTATGATGCAACAACTAAAGACGACACTTCTCGATCATGCAAAAATAATTCTCCTGCTCCGTGAAAATCGTCTTCGAAAAAGCATCGTAGACGGGCATTTTCTAAACAATCGATGTAATTTAGGATCCCGGCCCCTGGTATACCATGCAAATTGTCGTTTGGTTGAGACGTTTATAATCGTCCTTGGCGGCATACATCCAGAACATTTCCCAATTCTCCGTACGCCCTAGTTTGTGCTTGTTGCCGACGTGTACTTCTGCTTCTACCTTTAGTTCAATAATTATTTTTAATTGTTCTTAGCTTACTCGACAATGGTTGGGTGGGTGCCGGAACCTTTTGTTGTTATAGTTTCCCTCGAACCACTTCCACGGGCCGGCGCCCCAGTACATTGTATGCATGTTGCAGCAGTGATAAAATTCCGTCTAAAAACCCAGAATTTCTTAACTTACTTATTAACTACCATCTCAACGGTTGGGCCGGCGTCCATGAATGTCGCGTTACTACGATAGTCATCGTGATGACGGCACTCTCTCATGAGCAATAGCTCATTTTGAATCACCGGGTTTAGGAATGTTACAACAACAGCAAGCATTATTGAGATGCGATCCGGTGGCCGGTGGCTTGATTGATAGTTTAGTTGCGGGGAACCAGTTTTTGCAGATGTGATCAGGTTACAAAATGCACAATAATATTGCGGTATGGTTTCTAAACTGGAGTCTTGTAACACTTCTACAAGCTCGCCGCACACAGTTGTGTTCAATTTTTACGATTTAGGTATCTATCTAACGCTCTCAGCCAGTTAAAGGTACACTAAAGTCTCGTTGGTTTGGTTACCGGCCGGTAACCGTCCGCGGGATAGCAAACAGGGTTACGGTAGGTGCCCGCCGCGGAGCAAAACCGAACCCGCGCCGCTCGCCTGGGGCAAGCGCCAGAGACCAATAGGCCATGGCCATGGCTGACTGGTATCCATCCGCGCCTCCCGAGCGGGAGGCCCGGGTTCGACCCCCGGCCGCGGCAAAAATCTTTGCTTTTTTCCAAAAAAAACGTCCCTGCAACAGCCCTTTAAGGAGATCTGCTCTCCCCGACTTTCGTAAATCCAGAATATTTGATTTGGTACCAGCATATTTCATGTGTGGCGTGTTTTTTTCCGAAAACTGAACCTCGGATTCAACGCTATCCCCCATAAAATGTATAAAACAGTTTATCAAATGGTAGATGGGGTAAAGAACAGTAGATACAAATAAGTTCTTGGAGGCGCACGGGGTGGACTTCTCGATGGACTGGGCCGCAAATAAGTTCTGCGACCGCCAAGGTGCAAATTGTTGTATTTATGTGATTAATGAAGATTCTGATAAATAAAGATTTTATGGCCTTCCCTTCACGAATACTGAATACTTCGTGGCTGAATACTTGCCGCAAAAAACCGCCCAACAAGACGGGCTAAAAAGAAAGCTGTCATCAGTCCTGATTGGGGGTTTCTGCTTTTTTATGAATAACATGGGCCTCCCATTGACCGAAGCATCGCAACCAAACAACAAAACGCATCTACAGATTGTCCGTGACTGGTTATTCCTTGTTTATTATTTGTTTACCAGATGGTTACAGTCGCTTCGCGACTGCAACCATCTGGCCTTCGGGCTACCCTACATGTCCCACTCCACCACATCCTTTCCCACCTCCATCAATACCCCTGATAGCCGAAACCCCCTTCAAAAACTACCTAAATACCTTCCTGATGGCTTCAGATACCCCCCATGGCTGAAATCCCCTTCAAAAACTACATAAATACCTTCCTGATGGCTTCAGATACCCCCCATGGCTGAAATCCCCTTCAAAAACTACCTAAATACCTTCCTGATGGCTTCAGATACCCCCCATGGCTGAAATCCCCTTCAAAAACTACATAAATACTTTCCTAATGGTTTAAGATACCTCCCCTAGCCGAAATCCCCTTAAAAAACAAAAACAACGACCGACCGGATGGAATGAGAGAAAAAAAGAAATGAAATCCCTCGTGAAAATTTTCATCCACGAAACGCGCACGACCTGGCTCACTGTGTCCAAAATCACCCCAACCTCCGTCCCCCACCCCTTTTACTAAGGAAAAAACTTTCAAAGTTAATTTTAATAATTTAAACAAAAACTTTTTCATAATTTTTTTATTAGTTTGGGGGTTTCTGATGGCGCTCTATCCGAATCCGAAGAGAGCTAAGCTCTAGCTCCTTTCCCCTTCGAGTTGAATTCGGCTTCAGAAAGACGGAGACCACAACAAAATTATTATAGTTGATTCCTTGTTTATTGCTCTACCAACTTTAATCATGCCTCAAAAAATTTTTGGCAGCCTGCTGTTGGTTCAAATTTTGGATGCTGATTGGTTGGAGGTTTATTTACTCGGCCAAAGCTTCGTTAAGGCAAAGGCATTGGGAGGTTTGTGCCAAGTTATTAATTGCATGCTGGACATTTGTTCAGTTGCCCAGTTGCCTCGCACTGCGGGTCAGCCAGATTCTTAACATCGTTCCCGCTCTTTAATCTTATGGAAGCGCCCACCATCAATACTCTCACAATCCCACAAGCCATTGCTTTGGTCTGTGCGCCACACGCTTTTCCGTAGATGCCCGAGTTGCAATCCATAAGGGTGTTCATCGCCCTGGAATCTGAGGTTGAGCCGAGTATTTACCGACTAGTTCGACAGAAAAACTTGACCAAAGCGCCCATTAGTAAGCATCAAGCCGGGTAAAACTTACTTGCAAAGCCCAAATTTGGCATTTTTGTAGTAATCGGCGCTGCACTGTTGGAGCTGGGCCTGATACGTGCCGAACACAGCGCGATAGCAGTCAAAATTGTTTTAGAGGGCTGAAAGAACCCGTGCTTGCCATGGACCTGGCTGGAGTACCGTCGATTCCTGTGGTGCACTCGAATTCCATGGCACCCAGGTCGTTCCGATAAGTGGCTGCGTCTTCCGCGCTCAGCCCCATTGCCACATAGCAATCGATCGAAAGCGGGATATATTGCCGTAGGCAGTCCGACAACGTCCAAGTGTTGCTAAACGTTGGATGGTATACAGGGTGTCCCATAAAAAAAACACCCCTCCCGCATTTCGCCATATTACATCCGATTGGTCCCAAAATTGGACCAGAGGTGTATCAGACCCTAAATAACCACAATCCTGAGTTATGGCCCGCCCGCTACAGTAATTTTCGAGATACAACAAAAATAAACTTTATTATCCGTTTTTCTTAAGGTTTACATCGGAACCGACCATTCGAATATGAAGTGAAAATGAAGCGGCAAGCGTTTTTTTTGCCCTTAGAAATTTTTGCCTGATAAAAATTCATCAAATAATCGTTGATTTCAACAATTTTTGTAGGCCAAAGACACACCCGATATTAAGCGAAATTAGGGATTCGCAGCCGGAAGTCGATGCAAATCGAGGCAAAGTCCAAAAATATAGCCGAAAAAACTGTTAAGAATAGCGTAAAAAATAGTATTTTGGCGATATATCGAAAACCACTGTAGCGATCGGGCTATAACTCAGGATTGTGGTTATTTATGGTCCGATACACCCCTGTGCAAAGTATGGGACCGATTGGATGTAAGGCCGCGAAATGCCGGAGGGGTGCTTTTTTTGGGACACCCTGTATATGTTGTTCTGCCATGGCAATTCAACCTTTGTGAAGCACCTAAGCATACCTGCACACAGGAAAAAGCGCATTACGCCCATCCTTCTTGTACATTTGTTCCCTAGAGGTTGCCCAGCTTGCTGCGCTTGGTAAGGTTTTGCCGGCTACTGTAAGAGATCAGGATAAGGTTCGGTTTCCGATGAATAAAACGTAAACTTGCAAGGCGGTGCAGGCAACTCACAAAGCCCGTAGAACCTCAAGTATGGAGCGTAGCAGCTAGCCATGCTCTGCAATACGGATGCCGGGCAGTCTGCTCTCACGCCCATAACAAAAATAACTATCCCAATGGATATCCTATGAAGGAAATCACATTACCGATCAACAACTGCAATTTCATGGCGGGCACACGGTTAACTCAACTTCGAGCGGCGAACTGGCCAAATGTTTATATCTGAGAATCTAAACGGTTTATCTCACTTCTCCCAACGAGACGCACAGACGGGGTCAAGAAGTACGTGGAGACACCGATAACACCCAAAAATATAGTTTTACCCCAGCGCACAACGCACAAAACCTTGAGGCCTTGGGCGCGGGAATGCGACGCTTGCATGAGGAACATGACTTTCCTATTCTGATCGAAAATGCCTGATCGAAAATCTCCTGATCGAAAAATCGCCTGATCGAAAATCGCCTGATCGAAAAATCGCCTGATCGAAAATACGCTTGATCGCAAATCTCAAAAATCGCCTGATCGAAAATAACTCAAAAAATTTAGGGCTTTTCTAGGCTTCTAACATGTGTTAAACTACTTTTTGAGTTATTATCGATTAGATAGTTTTCGATTCGACGATTTTCGATCATGCAACCTTTCGATCAGGCGACTTGGGAATCGGCCCTTGATCCGCCCCCGCCTCCTTTGATTTGCGGCTATGTACCAAATCCTGCCTCATCCGGGTCCATCAAATTAACGTTCACCTTATCAAACTCTAACGTTTATTCAGGCAATGCTCGGCCCGGGGGCCGGATCAAATTGGATCACAATTTCGAGGAAAATACATAGAATGACGCGCAGGTCATTTAGAATTAGGGGTTACAGCATTTTAGAGGAGAAATGACAAGAATCAATAAATCACAGAAAGATTTTGGATTCAAGTGGGGTGGGGCACGAGAAATTGACAATTTGAAAATGGGAGAAATGAGAATCGCTTCTTTAGACTTGGTATTGACGTTGCCCGCAGAGGTGTTATTATCGAGTTACGATATTCGATGTTAGTTATTACGAGTTATTATCGATTAGATAATTTTCGATTAGACGATTTTCGATCAGGCGATTTTTCGATCAGGCGACTTGGGAATCGGCCCTTGATCCGCCCCCGCCTCCTTTGATTTCCGGCGATTTACCAAATCCTGCCTCATCCGGGTCCTTAAAATTAACGTTCACCTTATCAAACTCCCCCACGCATACTTCTTGCCCATTTACATTCCCTTCTTCACGAGGTAGGTAAGATAAGCCCTAGCCCGCACCAAATAAAAAGCCCGCCGCAAGGTTCTAGTCCTTAGACCCCGATTACTAATCGTGAAGCTGATTTTGCTGACGGGTAAGGAAATTTTTCTGTGCTGGGTATACGTAATACAGCGCTGTTCGCCGCCGGCATTGCGGCGGACTGCCCGGCTAGCCTTCTGCAGGTTATGTCAACCTGCTACACGCCCTTCCTAAGGTTCTACGGTGTCCGTGAGTTTATTACGAGCCGCTTCGAATTAGTTTTATC